TTGTCTACTAGAATGGATTTGAGGGATATTGTTTGAGTAGATGTGAAAAAATAGACCCTGAAGAGTTGGGGGATCCCTCAAATCAAAAGTAAGGGCCCTAATTTGAGAGCTCATGGTGAAGCCTTTTCCAAAAATGATAGCTCTAGATATTAGTGGATATCTAGATTTTTGTGGCTATGCCAGATACAAGAGTTGTATTGCATCCTAGTTCATTTTCTAAGAGCTAGGAAAAGGTAGCTTCAATTTTGGATGGGTAGAGCTCCCGTTTATGGCCAGTAGCTCCATATTTTCTAAACCAACATACCACCCTAAGCATTGCCTCCTCGATCCAATCTCCATCGCCCACCATCACCCCAAGCCTCCTCGAACTCCACTGCCTTGAATCCCACTCATCATCATCCTCCTTGGTGCCGACCTGTGTCGGGAGGCGCACTTTTGGAGAAGAACCACTCTGATCTTAGCCTTGACAAGCTTATTAAATGTGGCAGCCATTGAGCTTAAAGAGGAAGTGTGGCAAAGGACATGCCCATATGGAGTGGCAGATGCGCTTTGTGAGGTGGTTTTGGGTGGAGAGGTGCACTTGTGGGGAGGCAATAAGTAGGCTCAACTGGGTAGATGGATCTACTCCACTCTGGATTTGTGAATTTGGGGTTAAACCTAAATCTCGAGACCTGCAAAATAGGGCCAAAGTACATTCAGCCTATTCACTTGTTGGTTTCAGTCAGGGCTTATCAGCCAGCCAAGAGTGTTTTTCTCTCACAACAAACCAGCACCAGCCGGGCTTATCAGCCCAGAAACCAACCAGCGAACAGAGCCATTGTGAAATCGGACTAAAGTATGTCATGCTCGAGCATATTCTAGCAAAAAAAAGTAAAGAAAGGAAGGTCATTTCATTTGGGTCCTCGTCAATGCTTTGAGCTCAAGATTTCAACTATTCTACCAGCACTACTAGGATCCTAGCCCATTCACTTTCGGAACCGGTGTCCTTTCTCCGTAGAAACCTAGCACGATGTTCTTGAAAAGTTTGCTCGAGGAAGCTCCAGCTCTAACTCATGCTATCTCATGAGCAACCCCTGTCTCCTCTGCGATGCCCTGGTACATTTTCCTCTGCTTAGAGAATGATACTTTTTTAGTGCCATGATCCTAAGCATGATTTATATAAAATATAACTCATGAATCCTGATATAGATAGATGAATCTCATTATTCCTAAGTTCAATCCATTAGTTTCTGAAGCCAATTTGAATTAGCAAGTACAAGGATCTGCCATTATGGGTGGTCATGCACAGAGACATTTTCGTTCAGCAATATTTAGATTTCATACTAGGTATACATCTTAAATTTTCAAGATTGCAAGTAAAAAATTTATTCAATGACTTAATCATTTTGCACAACTATTTTTCTGTAAGTATTGCGTGTCCATTTAGTCGTTGCCTTCAAACTGAAACTAAACTCAGTTCTTCTTTTTGCTACCAATTCAGTTTGAACTAAAAGAACACAAAAGCAAATGGAAAAGTATTGCCTGTTCTTTTCTCAGAATATAGCTTCATCTATCACCAAATATGTACACGTTTCGTCAGTTTCACTACGCAATATTTTTGTTTAAATGCAGCACACATGTTAATCAATTGCTAATTAAATGTAGCACACATGTTCATCCATTGCTAACAACGTTTCTAATTGGACTTTCCATCTCTCCCAAAAAAAGAGCCTCGTTCCGACGCTTCCCCTCTCTTCGTAAGCTCCATCTTCTCTACCACATAGAACACAGATCTTCCATGCCTCTCAGCTGTCAGCACATAGGTGGTGTGGGGGTAGTGTCCCTGCTCTGCCCCCCATCTCCTCAGCTCGTTAGTGGCCTGGCGCGGTGGCCGTCCGTGTGGAGCCAGCAAGGAGAATCACGTCTGCAAAGCATAAGGTACGTGCTGTTTATCTTCCCCCATTCTTCTTTGCATCCTTGATTTAGTTGAGAATTTTAGACGCTGTTTCTCTTTGATGCCAGCTGCGACATCTGCGTTCAAATTAGATTGGCAAAAAATCTAGATAGAAGGTTTCAAATTGAGATCCATTTTCCTTGATAGAGAATTTCGAATTGAGATTTCTTTCCAATCTAATATATCCTTGTGTTTGCTATTGTAAGATTGGGTTAAACAAATCTAAATCTAAGATTTCAGATTTAATCCTAGACTACCACCGCAGATTTTTTTTAGTTTGCTACCTCCTTGCAGTAGTCACTTTATTTTTTGTATCCCTGTTGTTCTCAGTCTGGCTATTTCTTTTAAATAAAAGAACTTCTGAAATCCATACAAGTAGATAAAATTAATGAATTTAACACTGCTTTAAAAACAATAGTCATAACGTTTACATGTCAGGATTTTAGCCAACAAGAGTACTGACACCATTGATCCTCCCTTCCAAGCAACCATCATTAAAAACCCATGGAAAACAATCAGTTATACCATCTACAAAAGCTACTAGAAGAGGGTCACAAAAGATACAATTCTACGGCCTTTAATAGCTGTCATTGATAAATATTTGTTGACAGGAAGCCAGTGAGAGTGACTCTGATGATTACCAACGTGGCAAATCAAAGAAACAACACTATTCACTACTCAAGGAAAGGTGATTGTTGAGGTAAATATAAGGTTTTTACGATCACAATTATATACAGGCAACATATTAAACAAAATATATAACATCCTTTCTTACTATATGTATATTTCAGGGATCATAAAAGAAGGAACTGCCTTTTTACTTACTATTTCGAACCAAGACAACACGATCTTTTTACAATCTACATGTATCGTCTCTTTTGCAACAAGTATCTAGATAGCAGTTACACTCTTTTGTTGTAACTTAAAATGTAACTAGCTGGAGATACGCAAATCCACCAGCAACACGCATGTATGGTGATAAACAGTTTTCTATGCCAAACTAACTTTAACTTTTTCACTCTATATATTCTACAAGGGCATGCAATTGCAAAATTCAGCAAGAGCTAAGGGTCATACTAGCCAGGTGCTAAAAGGACGGCGCGGCAAAGCCGCGCCTGGTTTTCTAGTCAACTTAGAAAAATGGTGTGCACCATGCGGGTCAGTGAATAATAATTTTACAGCAACATATAAAGATCTTTAGACAAAAGAAGATTAACCTATTGCCACGTAGTCAAGGCATCGCACTTGCAAAGCAGCATAGTGTCAAGTTCCGTACATCTCCATCTGAGATCCTTCTGATGCCTGAGATCCTTCTGATGTACAAATGAAATCAACAACGTCAGATCGTTTAATGAGCGAGAATTGAGAGGAAGGCTTACCGGGGTGGCAGTTGTTATCCACAGTAATGGATGTGGACGGTCACTGTTGCTGCTAGCTGAGGAGTTCTTGGCTCCGAGGACATCAGCTCATGTATAAAGGGACACAGATGCAGCAAGAGATTAGACGGTGACCATTGAAGCGGTAAGCAGATGGTGATGACGATTAGCCAAAGATGACGGTACTAAATACTTTAGGGCGTCACAATGATTTCCAAATAGCTAGCCTAGAAAGAATTTTATTGACTATCAAGGAAAGAGATCAAATAGTTAACGACTCTCAAATAACTAGGCTAGCACGATCTCCCAGAAATACCTCTCTTACAGCTGACATAACTCTCCACTACGACGTTCATTTTTTTATTATTTCTATGCCTCGTCTAGCTAGCTATTTGCAAATTGCCATTGCAGACGCCCTTTAAGCTATTGAGCTCGCTACCTCGAGACTCGAGGTGATGGCCTACCGTGTTCCCATTCAATCTGGATGGAGTGTGTCAGTTTCAGTTCTGTGAAGGTGGCTTAGTTGGTGCGTCAGTTTCAGTTTTGTGCAGGAACCGATTGGACCATGGGTGTGCGTTTGTGCCTCTTCGTGAGGTCTGTAATGGCTGGGCGCAATTATGGAAAGGATAGGCTCTTGATGGGCATTTTTGTAGCACTACCATCAGTTACTAAAGCTAGAGTGGAAGTAAAAGAAGCGGGGTTATACACACAATTAACGGTCAGGATGGAGATGGCTGCTGAAAATTGAATGGCTAAAACAATGGTGATGACGTGGCACAACGTGGAAGTTGAGAAATAGCATTAGTGGAGTTTTATTTTATAAGAGATATAGATATGTAGAGTGTGTCGTGTCCCTAAATCCAACCGTGCTTATCCTCTAATAAATATTAATAACAGCAACAAGGCTCCAAATACCATGGCGTCACCTAATGGGTCATCCAAGTTGCTCATATATATGTTCCCAACTTCAGATGCACTTGTCAAATTATCATTGCACATGAAGGTTTGAAAGTTCGTACCAAATTTTGTGGCTATTTGGCTCAAACTGTGGATGCCAAACTTTGCCTAAACCTGGCCAATTGGACCGGATTGAGTCCATGTTGCAGTTCTAGCGTAGAGATGCAACATGAGGTATTGCTAAGGTGTACCGCCCACCTTTTTCTCAACAGTGTTTATAATGCCTGATGCCTGAAAATTGATAAAAAAATGGCAGTACCAAGCGAGGTCTGAACTATCTAGTGAACTCAAATCCATGGTTGTAGCCTTGTAGAGTTGTAGGTAGCCACTGCACCTGCAGATACGATCCATATTTCTGCTTGCCAGGAACTATTTGAGAAGAGCTCGCAAATACGTTGCACTGAAAAGCAAACAAAATTGAGATAAATACCGGCACACCAGTTCACTGTAACTCAGAATTCTGCACAGTACTATATCTCAGCATTACCAGTAACAAATAAATCAAATGTTCTAATTATACAGCCATAGAGGATACACTACGCATAGTCATCTGTCACTCAAGGTTAATGTCACATGGGATGGGAGATCAAAATTCACCTGCTAGTACAGTAAAGGATGTCACACACACTATCAACACCATCATGAAAGCTTGCTCTTGGAAAAATAGGGTGTGAAGGCATGGACTGGATTGGGGTTGCTGGAGAGTCAAGATGGAGGAACGAGCCTCCGCGGTGTCATTGTTTCACTCTTTTCATGCCGCCATTACTGAAGGGACTAGGAGGAGCACCACCTGGATGTGGACTCTCCTCTCGGAGTGGCGAATTCAACATTGCAAGTTCTCGGAGTTGCTGCCTCTTGTAGTAGTCTTGTGATTCATCCTGTGCACAGGTACACAATAAGAATTATGGTTTAGAAACAGAAGTCAAAGAAGTTAATTGTCCATTCCTTTGTGGAGAAGTACTCTAAGCTGTTAAAACCTCTCTTTTTGGCACGTTTGGATGTTTTGCCACATGTTTGAGATAAGCTGCAGATTCAAAAGCAGAAAGAAAGATGAAATTGAGAAAACATATGCGTACCACTGGTTTCAACAACTCTTCAAGGATCTCTTGTGCCTTTGCAAGTCTTGCATCAATCACATTAGCAGGTAACTCAGCTTCAATCAAGATATGGAGGGGTTCACTCAAGTGTTCATAGCCAGATCTTCCCTTGAGTTGTTCCTCCTTTACAAGATGAAAAAAGCAGCAAGATTAATATTGTAGGCTTAGTACGTGTAATCAGAAAATCAATGCCTACTAAAAAATGAAACCCTAAAACAATTAAACAATCATGCAGCCATTTTTAAGATACAGTACACAGCCATATCCACCTAATTCTAGAGTAATGCTTACCTTGCCAGAATCTTTAATTGAGCCTTTCCCTCTGATGAAAACACGACAGCCTGTAGAGGCTTCAATCCTCTTTAAAGAGTTTCCCCTTGGTCCAAGAAGACGGCCGATAAAATTGAACTGTACAAAAACAGCAAGAAGTTCAAGTATTGGTGTCATACTGCTGTACCTACCTTTGCAAGTACGAAAGATGAAAACATACATTAGGGTATGTTTCTGTCGGTACTTCCAACCGCAAAATCTTCTTGACAATGTAAGAAGCGGGGCTTTGTGGGGGTCCTTGCCAACCCATAGCTCCTTGCGGAACACCTACTCTCTGATCAATGGCATTAGTGTTAAGGTGATGTACTTCTTTGGACATAGTATATAGGATGTAGGAACTCAGAAGGGCAACATTGTCATCAAAAGAAACAGGCAATGCTATTGACCACCAAGAAGAAAACATATCGAACAAGTCTTAAACAGTACCTTCTGGCTTCCAAATGTGTTTTCTAGTATGTCCAAGATTCTGTTACAACTTAGTTGAGCCACAGGTGCAAGCTTGAAAAGGTCTGTTTTCTAAAATTATAAGTCCCCCTTGTTTACACATTTCAACTCCAGTACAAGGGTAAAGCATGGATTCTTTAGTCACCAAAAGAAGATATCGGTTCTTTTGTGCAAGTACATAATATCAATCCTCCACTTAAGTTAAAGAAGAAAAAAAATCAGTTTGATCTTATATTTCCTCTAAGAGTGTATAAAAAAACTCAACCAGCCGGGGGTATGACATCCCCAAGTAGAACTCAACCTTGCTGGCCGAGAAAAACCCCGAACTCCAGCTTTGTTGGCGAGGGGATATTTTTAACCAGCCTAAATTTGTTCCCACGGGGAGTCGAACCCAAGACCTGGAGGTGCTACTAAAGCACTTGCAACCACTAGGCTATGGGCTCTTTTGCCTCTAAGAGTATGTAACATTAAGCACAGACCTTCTTTCAGTATAGAAATATTTACAACTGCTTCTTTTCAAGCATTTGTTGGACGTATTGCAGGCAGCTTCATTGAGTTCTTTCCAAACATTTTGCTACAAAATGGAGCTCAATATGGCAGACACGCTATCTCTTCATGTCAAGTGTGCAGTTCAAAGAATATTCAGATGATCTGGACAATATGGGTTGTAGATGTAAGTGTTTTAGGATACAGGTTCTGATCACCAACTTACAAATGAGAGAACTGAAAAAAAAAAGATAGAAATTGACAAGAATACTGCCTTGGTGGGTTGGGAATTTGGTGGTAATGGAAATAATGTAATATTGAAAAGGAATAAAATGGTAAAAGGAGATAACAAAAAATTCAATTGTTGGTTTGCACTAAACCATTTTCACTTTTAAGGAGTTGTGTGCTTAAACATCATAAGTTTATTTGCAGACTTTTACGTTCTAGCGGTATCTTTGATAATCCAAGTGTCAATTACATTTGGTTATTTGCAACCTTTTAAGTAATAAGGATGAGTACGGATACTTGGAAATAACGTGATGAAAAGAAAGTTAAGGAGAGTAGAGATTGATACATGTGTTACATTGATATAGTGACTACATAGTTCCGTGGTGCTTGTTAATTCAAAGGATGTTAAAATGGGGAGGGGAAGTGAATTAACAACACAAATGGAAGAGAAACTGATGGCAATGCCACTTCGAACTAACAAAAGGTTCGTGGAGGACCAGCAGTTGGCTTATATCTAGTATATAAGAGTCCACATACTTCGTACTCTTTGAAAGCTGATTCTACTTTGTGAAAGCCTTGATGGATAAACTTGATGAGCGCAGGCATATTAATACGGCATGGATCTTAACCCTTGTTCGATAACTTCAGAAAACGCAGAGCAACTTATATTTTAGTTATATCTCTTATATAGCTTCTCCTTCTGTCGAAAGTTTTTTTACAGCCCATGCCACCGAGTAAACAAGTATGCTAGCTGAAGATGACTGCAGTGTATTTGTAGATAACTGGAGCAATTACCTCTGAATGCATCCCATTCCATGGACTAAACCCGTTTCCACAAAAGTTTGGCATGGGGGGTGACGGATGCATCTGGTTGGGGCTTGCGGCTGGAAACCTGTCAAAGTCCCCAGCAGCACCATGTTGGCGCCGGATATTCGACACCCGCATTATTTCTGGTATCATGCATCCATAAGCAAGCGTTAGCACATAACATCGACATGTCAACTTGAAAAAAATATCCTGCCACTGAAGAGAAGGCACTGCGTCTCTTAAGAACAAATGAGATTTTTCATATATCATAGAAAGACCCGAAAACATAGCAGCCAAAATAGAAAGACAGTCATCGAGGAAGTTTTCATCAGCCAAAAGACCAGTTACATCGCACGGTGAATAGCAAGAGAAGTTCGGAATCCAATCCACCGCAGCCGCAGCAATGCTATCCGCACAAGAAACATAGCAACGAGAGCACGTCTTCACAAAACTCGGATCGAACCGCTCACCTTGATTCAGCAGCCTGCTGCAGATTGGGAGCACCTGCATGAAGGGCCCCAGCTTCTGGTGCTCCTGCAGCAGCTCCGCCAGGTACTGACTGCGCCACCGGCAATAATCCAATCCGACCACACAAAGGAGACGAGAAATCGAGGCACAGACAGATCAGACGGCCGCCCCGAAAACATCAAAGAAGCAATCTTTTCGTTGTTCCGAGACAAGAGAACCCGCGCCCCAACCCCAAGCGTCGAGGCTTACCTGCCTACGTCCGGCGGCCCGGCCGGGGGCCTCACCACCTGCGGCGAGATGGCCCTCGCGGGGGAGAAGCAGGCGTCCGTACCGTGCAGGCCGTCCATGGCGGCGCGCGGCGGCGGGCCGGGTGGGGGATGGGGCCGCGCCCGGGGTGCCAATCGGGGGAAGCCGGGCCGCTACGGACGGGAGGAGGAAGAAGAGGAGAGGATGGAGAGGGTGTGTTTTTATCGCGGTGTGTATCGTTTTCTTTTCTCGGTGCGGGTGGCAATACCCTTTTTTTGGGAAAATCTCGGCAAAACCCTCCGCCCGGCACGACGTGTTGCATCGCGGCATACCTCTGCGTGCGGGTCTCTCCTGCCCCTGCCCTGCGCGCTTGCCCCGTAGGGTTTATAAACCCCTGCCGCCCAGGGCAACTGCAGGAAGGATGCGCGCATCAACCTACTTGCCATATTCTGTGTTTGCCGGTTTAATAGGGGCATAGGGCTATATACGCCACATGGCTGATGGCTCGGTGTGTCCGCATCTTTTCTTTAAGCTGTACGGTAGAGCTCTGTCTGTTCGTTTGCTCGTAAACGATCGTAAATTTTCAGCTGGGAATAGTATTTTTCTCTCACACCAAACCAGTCAACAGTAAATAATCCACGATACGATACGGCCTTCCGAACAGGCCGAGAAAGGTTAGCATACTATGCTCCATTATTCCACTGGCTACGTGATAGGAATAAAGTTAAGTTTAAGTGGCAGAATTTTTTTCTAGGACTGTTTTATCAATTCATTTTTATTTCATTTCGACCCCCGCTAAATTCGAACTTTCGAATCAATTGTTGATACAATACATATGGGTGGCATATAAATCCCTGTAATATATATAATATGCATCATCAAATTTTTCCTATGTAATAAAAATAAAATGTCTTGTGAGTTTTATATATATTGGTAACATTTTAACATAGAACATGATTTCTGTTCGCTTTCGAGAGTGTAATTATTCTGCTAGCTCATACTTTTCTAAAACTTTCTCCTATGCATGGTGATGCATAGATAACATACTGTAACCATTTTTTGTTTGAAAGGGACAAGATACATCATCAATAATGGTCATGATAATTATAGGCAACCGTACATGTGGCATGCTATAATACAACTCCAACAATAGGACAAGTTGTTACAATGATAAAACAAGAGACATTTTGTGTACATGTCTTTGTCGATATTTGATGGGTCCTCGTGTTACTAGAGTTGACTATGGGCTACAGACGTGTTTGGGATGGCGTCTGCGGACCGCGTGATGCAGTATGCGTACCGTGGCCGTCCCACCGCTGCACGGGAAACGCGTCTTTTCAGTTTATTTTCGTGGTGCGGATACCGTTTGCGGCGAAAAAAATCGCTCACGCCACGGGGTGTTTGGCGTGATTCTTCGCTTGTTTTGTCCGCCACCGCAGAAAACGTGGTCCCAAACACGCTTGTCGGATATATGGGCTAGGGGTACCCGCACCTCTGTATATTTGACTACGCCCAGTTATCGGGCCACGACCACGGCGATTTTTTAACACTTTTTGTAAACTAAATTTAAATCTAACACTGTTTTTTTTTTAAAATTAACACTTTTGGCCGCGCCTATTGTCATGGCGCGGCGAAACGCCTGTGCCGCGCCATGCATAGTGGCATAGCGCGGCAGGAGGATGACGTGGCGACGACCGGGAGCTCTTGGCCGATGGCGTGGCGGTCTCGCCGCCACCGATCTTAAGTGGCAGCAGCCGCGCCCGCGACCTGAATGCATGGCACGGCAGACGAGATAAATATCGCGAGCGAAGCGAAGCCCACCCTACCACGACGCCACCGACCGACCGCAGACGCCGCGCAGACAAATGCCGCCGCCGCCAAGACGCCAGCCGCGCCGCGACGCCCGGACGCGCGCCCTTCGCCAACCGCATCACAGCCATAAGGCCACACTTACGCACGACGCGTCGTCCGATACGCCAGCTCATATCAAGGTACCTCCCTCTCGATTTCATATTATTATGATTGTTATTGATTTAGGATAGTTAGGTTAGTGATTTAGGATAGTTAGTGATTTAGGATAGTTAGGGTTTTATGATTGTTATTGATTTAGGATAGTTATGTTAGTGAATTTGTTTGTTTAGGTAGGTAGTTTTTAGGTTTGAGGTTGTGTGTTGTAGTATAGTTAAGGTTTGGTTAGGTAGTTAGGGTTTAGGTTAGTGTTAGTTAGAATTTTGGGTTTAGGGATTGATTAGTTATTTATTATTTAGTTTATAGTTAGTTATTTAGTTATGGATTTTAGGTATAGATATTAGTTTTCAAGTGTCGGTACTTAGTAGTGCGTGATACGTCGATTTGGATGACTTGATGGAGTTTCGTCAAATGCTTATTTTTCTAGTGAAGTTGTTTAATATGTCTGTTAATGTTACTTTGAATATATACATGTGCTTTCATATTGTGTTCGTATTGCATAACAAGTAGTTTAAAATTTGTAATGCTACATAATGTTAATTTGAATATTATTAATTTGAATACTCTAACCATTTGTTTATCAATTTGTAACAGGATGACGACTCCCACGCAGCACCCGTTGTATTCCATTCTTGAGATGGAGTATGACGACCAGCACCGAGCACACATCTTGAGTGACACCGACGTAGAGGTGGCCTTGCCTCTTTTGAGGCCCCGCACGCACACCAAGGCGCACCAGTGGGACGAGCGTTACGCGCTGTATATACGGCGTGCCGGCTTTCTCGAGCTTGTCCGTGTTGTCAACTACGGTCTTCCGCCCCTTTACCCAGCACTACTTACTACAGCTGTAGACAGATGCTAGTGCCTTCTTTGTACGTAAACATTCTTATAACAAATTTGAGTCAACTAACAGTCGTTCTATTCTTATAATAAATGGAGGCCTGAGACCCACACGTTCCACCTACCTTATGGCAAGATGACCTTAACCATGCAGGACGTGAAGGCTATCTTTGGCCTTTGGTTGGGAGGACTTTCAGTGACGGGTATAGTTGACAACGATCATTGGAGGGAGCTGGTGGCTCGGTTCACTAGCTTTCTTCCACCAGACGACGAGGTTTCAAAGAAAAATAAGTGAACAATTCAAGCCTATTTAATACTTGCATTGCTTTTCTACAACTATCGGGTCTCATTTTCTTTGGTGAATTTCAGAAAAAGTTCCGGTGTTTCGTCGTCCTGGATCACAGAGCGCTTTGATTACTTGGACCCACATGCTGAGGATGCTTAGATCGACAGGTTCGCTAGAGTGTGGCTCTAGCACTTCCTTGGAGCTTTCCTCTTCCCAGACGCCTCGGGCAATACTATCAGCTGGATCTTCCTTGACATACTACGCTAGCCGTGGGAGAACATAGCGGCGTACAGCTGGGGCAGCGCAGTCCTGGCATGGACGTATCGACAGCTATGCGTTGTCTGCCGTCGCACCTCAGGGTATGTGAACCTTGGGGTTGCTCCTACCTACTCCAGGTTTGGTGTTGGGAACGATGGCCCGTTGGGGGCTCTTAATACTGGTTTACCGGTAAGTACTTCGGTTCACTATATTCTTCTAGGCAGTTACATATGATGAGATTATTAATGGCTAATTCATTATCGTGTTTAATGCAGCAATGGAACGGGCAGGATACACTCCCTACAACTCTGTATATCTGGACGGAAGCAGAGTTAGTTAGAGGGAATGCGAGACATAAGTACTGGGAGTACACGGACGGTCTCGATGTCCTGACACAGCACCAGGTTACGCTCTCTTTACTATCATACATGTGTCTTGTTCGATGTACACTATATCACAACCTAACTCAATTACGAAATGTTCAGGTGCATTGGTGTTCTTGGGATGCTCCGGAGCTCCAGTACTATCTCAGTCCTGTCACTAGGGACGAGTCAAACGAGTATCGCTGCAACGTCCCTCTTATTTTCTTCCACGTGATCGAGATTCACTTGCCCATTAGGGTCTACAAGATAGTTTGGAAGAATGACAGGTTGCCCACCACCGCTTTACTCCACCAACCAAGAATTGCATGAGTGTGTTATCGATGAATAACAAAGCTACAATTTAGAGGTGTGTGTGGTACAACTAACATCGTTTTAGTTGCAGGTATGACCGTAGGAAGAGATACAAGACCAAGGATTGGCGCGTGACACACAACGCGCACATCCACTTGTGGCAGAACAGGGAACAACAGCCGGTCCATGTGGGTCCTCCACACAACTAGCACACCTTCGACGAGTACCTACGGTGGCTTCACAGGTCTACGAGGACACATATCAAGCCCCCGTACACTGAGGAGGTGATTGACGAGGACTCAGAGGAAGATGTGATCGAAGATATGTACGACATTGCCACTAGGGAGGACACACAGCTACAGAAAGCCCCGCTTCAAAGATACGTGGTAAGATACTTGAATGGTACAATTTGTTATCCATTTGGTATTAAGTATGTGTACTAAAACTGTCCAACCGCGTTTCGGTACCCAGATGACACAATTGTCAAGGAGGTCCAACGAAGCAGCGTTCCGGCTTCACGAGTCTAGAGGGCAGGGGCTAGGCGTTCTCGAGGCTTTTGTGGAGGTAAACATAAACTTGTCCGTTTCGAAAATGTTTCTTTAGTGTATATGCGTTTGGGAAATACACTAACTTTAATGTCTATTTATGCATAAGGTAAAGAAGAGCTGCAGGAAGCTAGCTCAGAAGCTGAGCTGTATGGACACTCCTTGGGTGGAACCACTACTCTCGGCGTGATCGGGTGGCACGTCTTCAGCCTCTTTAAGGACACCAGCCGGCCTTCTCAGCCGGTGACAGGTGCCACTTCCGCAGTGCGTACACCACCACATCATAGCGCTGGGAAGGACCCTGCAACCGAGGATGATGATGACAACGACGTCCCCCGAGGCTTTCGCAGACAGCACAACCAGTGGGATGATTGGCCGCAGGACGAGATCGGCATGTCTCCGCTAGGTGGTGCCCCGCTTGGTACCCAAGGAGCCTCACATGTACTAACAAAGGTACTTTCTTTAAATACGTAGGCTCCATGAACTAACGATCATAAAGATTATAAGTAATCGTGCATATCATATACTTG